CTTCCAATCTGTCTCTAAGATTAGATTAGAACTTGCACAGAGAGACAGCCACATGAGGACAGGGGAAAAAGATGCCATCTATATGCCAAGGAGAGAAGCCTCAGAGAAAACCATTCCCGCTGACACCTTGATCTTGGACTTCTAGCTTCCAGACCTGCAAAATAATAAACTACTGTTTAATCTCTTGCGGCTCTAGTACTTGTTTAGGTGGCTTTAGCAAACTTTCATAGGAGGAGCTTCTTCTGAAGCTTGTATTTCTCTGTGTTGCTTACCTTAAACAACATCTTGCTTGTCTTTGCCCGTTCTTAAACTCCACAGGAATAAGTTAATATTCTACGTATTCAATTACTTGCTTTTTTATTGTTCTTCAACTATTACATTTATCCATAATGACATGTGATGCTATAGTTCATTTGTGTTCACTACTATATAGCATCCCACATGTGGATATTGTGCAGTTTATTATCCCTTTTACTTGTGATTGACACAAGTCAATTGCACATATCTCTGGATGCACACATCCAAGTGTTTTTCTAGTCTGTGTTACTGAAAGCAAAATTCATGAGTTGTTTTATGTATGTATTGTTTAAAGTGTTTATAAGCTTTTGAGTTTGAACATGTTCAATTGCTTATGCAATGACAAATTATTTCCAAGAATAATTATACTTGTTTCCATCAACAGTAAATTAGACTTCCCCCTGCTGTGTACCTCTGCTAAAATTCAGAATTGTCTGCCATCTGTATTTTTGCCAGATTCAATGAGTATGTGTTATCTTATTACTTTGTTGGGTCATTTCTTCTCTCAAGGACTGGTGTGTGGATGAATATGTCTTTTTCTTCATTCAAAGTTTGTTAAAGACTGCAAATAACAAAACTTGTCATCTAAACCCTAAGAACATATTTCATTGGTATGAAATGCATTTATAATGTGCCGCCATCACCAACATCCAGCTGCATTATTCTCCCAGTAAAACCAAATCTGTGCACACTAAATAATTACCTATTCCTATCCCATCTCAACCTGGTAGCCACCCTTCTACTTTCTGTCATTATGATTTTGACTATGCTAGACAGCTCATAAAAATGGATTTGTTTTAAATGAGATGTCCTCAGGTTTCATCCCTTTTCCCCCTCTTTTTTATTGTTATTGTAATGGTGATGTACAGAGGGGTTATAGTTACATAAGTAGGTAAAGAGTACATTTCTAAGCTGGGAACTGGTGGCTCATGCTTATAATCCTAGTTAGGAGGCTGAGATCTGAGGGTCACCATTCAAAGCCAGCTAGTGCAGGAAAGTCCATGAGACTCTTATCTCCGTGGCTCCGTGGCTCAAGAGGTAGAGCTCTAGCCTTGAGCTGAAGAGCTGAGGGACAGCACCCAGGCCAAGAGTTCAAGCCCCATGACTGACAAACAAAAACAAGCAAACAAAAAAAAGAGTACATTTCTTTTTGGACAATGTCACCCCTTCCCTTACTTTCTCCTAGTTTTTTCCTCCCATCCCCACCCACAAGTTGTATAGTTCCTTTTCAACAATGGGTCTAGTAAGTACCACTGCTGCAGGGTTTCATCCTTTAAGACTGTGTAACATACCATTTTGTGTCTACACCACAGTTTGCTTAATCTTTCATCCCTTGATGGATGCTTGAGTTGCTTACATAATTTAACTATTATAGTTATGCCATGGACACATGTCTGCAAATATGGTGATCAAGTGGTAGAGCACTATTCAGGAGCAATAAAATCAAATGAGAGCATAAAGTCTTGTGTTCAAGCCCCAGCACAGACAAAAACAACCAAAAAAAAAAACCCCTAGAGCCATAAAGTTAGGAAAGCAGTTTTACTAGTAGTCAAATAGTCATTGTTTAATCTCATATAAAATCATTTAAGAAGTCTGAATGGATTAACATGCAAAATAACATCTCTATAAATAATGAAAATATGCTGAAATATATGCTCACAACAACTATAACAGTTCAAAGTGAATTTTAAATATTAGGAAAATTATCAAAGTTAAAATTTAGTATATGTTAGAATTTGAAACAAATGGATTGGATAAAAGAAAGATGTGAAAAAGAGCAGCACCATTTCAGAAGACTCATCTGAAGAGTCTCACATTAGGATATCAGTATTACCCAAAGTAATCTGCAGTTTACTGAACATCCCAAGTTCCTGTGAAATGTTTGGAGACAGAGTGATAGAGGCGAGATGAGCTCATGGAGTTGCTGAGCTGATAGGTTTGTTGCAGCAAGACACAACCTTGCTGGACTTTGATCTTGGACTTCTAAGAGCCTCTACAACTGTGGGAAAATACAGTTCTGTCCAACGTTTCTGTTGTTTAAGTTATGCAGCCTGTGGAATTTTGTTCTGGCTTTCTGTGCTGACCAATACAAGGGATGTGATTATGTTATGGTACAAGTGTGCACAGGATATTATTGGAACACTATAAAAGATGGGCAATACAACATTATGCCCAAAATGACAGCCAGCATCACATCTAACTACATGGCTAATTAGAGACACCTGTTGAAGACAATGTGAGCATGCACCAGAAAATCCACTCTCTGGGAAACTATGGGATGAAAGTCCTGCTTTCCTCAATAAATACATTATGAGAGAAAAATAAGAGCAGAATCCCTAGATGAAAGGAGAGGCTATCTACCAACAATAAGTGGACCTGGTTCACATCCTGTTTTTAATGGTGATGGCAATACTAGCTAGATATATGAGGGCACTCAGGAAGTATTGTTATTTTTATTTCTAAGGGTCATGTAATTTAGAGCTATAGACTGAGATATCTATTTACAAATGATGCTTAATTATAACTTCAAAAACGTGATCTAATAGAGGAAAAAAATGTCCCTGTAAGATTCAAAAGCTGCTAGGCACAGGTGGCTCATACCTGTAATCCTAGCTACTCAAGAGGCTGAGATTTGAGGATAGTGATCCAAAGTCAGCCTGGACAGAATAATCCATGCATCTTTGTTTCCAGTTAAGCAGCAAAAAACCTAGAAGTAAAACTGTGGCTCAAGTAATAGAGTGCTAGCCTTGAGCAAAAGAAAGCTCAGGGACAGTGCCCAGTCCAGAATTCAGACCCCAGTACCGGCACACAAAAAAGAAAGGAAAGAAAGCTGGGCACTGGCTTTCTTTATTACAGGCTTGTGCCTGTAATCCTAGCTATTCAGGAGGCTGAGATCTGAGGATGTCAGTTCAAAGCCAGCCCTGGTAGGAAAGTCAGTAAGATTCTTATCTCCAATGAACCACTAGGAAACTGAAAGTGGTGCTGTGGCTCTAAGTGGTAGAGCCCTAGCCTTGAGCAAAAGAGCTCAGGGACAGCAGTAGGCCTTGAGTTCAAGCCCAACAGAAAAGAAGGAAAGAAAAAGAAAGAAAGGAGAGAGAGAAGGAGAGGGAGGGAGGATGAATTGAAGGTTATTGTCAAAACAAGACTGAAGATTGGTCATACATTAACCATTGTGAACGTGAGTGATGGATATGTTGTGATTTATTGTTCCATGTTCTGTTTGTATTTGAAACTTACTATGATACAAAACTCAAAAAGCAATATAACGTTTTATTAATTTGCACAAACTATATGATCTCAAATGGAGTAACTGGGGCCAAATTTACCTGCCTCCTAAAATATCCAGACACACAACAACAACAGTATTTAAGACTTTGGTGCTCAGACAATAAAAAGCTGATCTTGAGAGTTAGAGACAGGACACAAAAGTCATTGTAAGGTGTGCAACTGCCACAGTTTACTGCCTTAAGAGAGTTCCCAGACTGCAGCAAAAGGGTCAGAGAAACATTCTTAGCCAGGCACTGGTGGTTCACACCTGTCACCCCAGCTACTCAGGAGACTGAGATCTGAAGATTGCAGTTTGAATCTAGCCCAGGCAGGAAAGTCTGTGAGACTCATCAGAAAGCTAGAAGTGGATCTGTGGCTCAAGTGGTAAAGTTCTAGCCATAAGCAAATTAGCTCAGGGATAGCACCTAGGCCCTGGGTTCAAGCCAGAGGACCAGCACAAACAGAACAAAACAACAACAACAACAAAAAGGAACAACTTCAGCCAAGTAATGAGAATGTACAAGATGACCATCATACAGAGTAGTGAAAGACCAAATGCTGTCCTGTGGGGTCAGGGACAAATATCCAGTGTGTACATTCACCACCCTATTCCATTTTGTGGCGGGACTCTACCTAGTGCCTTTTTGGCAAGAAAATTAGATGAAAGCCATGGAAAGTAGCAAGTAAAAACATTTTTATTCTCAGACATGATATCTGTGTAGAAAATCTGATGGAGCTGGGTGTGATGGTGTATGCCTGCAATTCCAGCACTCAGGAGATAGAGACAGGAGAGACTGGGAATTCAGACCAGCCTGGGTTACACAGCAGGACTGTGTCCGAAAAGAAGATGGAAGGGAAGAGAAGAGAGGGGAAGGGAAAGGAGGGGCAGAAATGGGAGAAAATAGTTGTTGTTGTTGTTTTTTATAGATTTACAAAACCTACAGAGCTAAGAATGAGTTTAGCAAAAGAGAGATATAACATCAATATATAAAAATCAATTGCATTTCTTGGGCTGGGAAGGTGGCTCAGTGGTAGAGCGCTTGCATGCCTGAGGCCTTGGGTTCGATTCCTCAGCACCACATAAGCAAAAAGAAAAAAGCCGGAAGTGGTGCTGTGGCTCAAATGGTAGAGCGCTAGCCTTGAGCTAAAGAGCTGAGGGACAGCGCCCAGGCCCAGAGTTCAGGCCCCATGACCGGACCTAAAAAAAAAAAAACTCAGAGAAAGCCCTATGTAAAGTATGGAGTGTGGGTGATAATTCTTATCAGTAGAGGATCATGATGGTAACATATGGACCACTCACACTGCAGAATGCTGACAGTCAAGATGGCTGTGCATCTGTAGCAACCTCGAGTAAATGGGAACTCTTTAACTTCTGCTCAAAGAGAGATTCAAATTCTTGTCACACTGTCCTGAAGAGTAATTTTCTTTGCCATCAGGTTAATTTTGATTCTGACAACGGACCAGTAGTATACAACACCCTGAAGAAAATTTTTAAGCACACGTTGGAAGAAAAAAGAAAAATGGCAAAAGACAGCCCTAAGCCTGGCCTCTTGTGAAGCTGACATTCTCCATGAGGTGGATATTTCAGACCTACAACTTCTATATCCTTTGTGTTCATAGGTGAATAAGCTAACACTTGTGGAGCTGCTTTTTTCCTGGCTTTTATTTCCAGTGCTGTTAGCTTATGCTGAGGATGACCATTCCTTTTTGGAGCAATTATTTATTTTAAAATATCCCTGTGCTATGTCTTAGTCTTGAAAAATTGTCATGAAATTGGTGCCACTTCCTTTTATTTATTGGACTGAATTAATATTGTTGGATTAACATTTTTTAAGTATGTGATGTTTACATCCTTCTTTTTTTTTTTTTGACTTTTGGGAAAAAGTAGCTCTTCTTTCCAAAACAATTATTTTCTTGACAGAACTCTTCCTCGAGTGTTTACCAAATAGATAATTTTAATAGTAAAACCTCACTGCTTATCCATCCCCTGGACATATGACTGAAGAAAGTCACCAAGTGTCTTACACAGTTTTATATTTATTACTAAGATGGCTATTAATACATTTTAAAGGACTTTTTAAACCCTGTTTGAAATATTTTTTCTTTTCTTTTTATAAAAGTGACAGAGGGTTTCAAAATGTTATTGTTGTTCTGAATGATTTAGTTTTACTTTAATGGATTGACTGAGGAGTGATTGGGATTTTTTTTTCCTTATTGAAAGTGGACTTGTTCTTTGTCAGGCTTCCAGACAAACTCTTCAGCCTTGGCTGTCTTAGGAGGCAAGAGCCATTCTCAACATACTAGGCCTTATTCCCACTCCCTTGAGTTGCTGCCAAGCCAACCCACCTCTTGACAGAGAAAGTAGGATCAGAAGCTGGCAGTATTTGACGTTGCTAAGGAGCAGGACTAGCCTTTGTCCTCCCAGGGACTCCACAGAAAGGACAGTGGCTGGGGGAGGGCCCCGTATTGGCCCTGCTATCTCCAGGCCTCATAGCTACTCTGTAGAGGCAGCTCAGAGCTAGAGCAAGTCAGAGCAGGACCCTAGTGTGTGCTGATGGGGTCTTGGCACAAGCAGCTTGGCTTAGGCCCCACATCTGCAAATCAGCCATTTCATACACCCACTTGCCTCAGGCTTCTGTCTTACACTGCTCTTTGGCTGTAAAGATTACATTTTAAAATTGAATTTGACCCCATGTTACATTCATCCTACCTGGCTTCAGATGCAAACAGGTGACCACCTAAACTTCTTCATTGTGGGTCAACCTATCAATCAGCAAATAAAGCCATAACTCTTACTTAAATTAATATGTGCACGTATCAGAGGCTAAGCCATAGAGAAGATAGTAGTTTTCTCAATAAAGGTGTTATTACTAGACCAATTCAAACTAAGGAAGCAACTACTTGATTTTCAAGAGAAAAATTTCAGGGGAAATAAGACCAATTTAGAATAAGTGAAATTTCTCCAATGTCTACATGAATTTGAGCAATATCATATCAAAAAGTATTTTAGTTCTGATTAGCCTCACTGACTCTAAAAGTAAATTCAGTTTTCTTCCACACTTTGAATTTTCTTGGAAAATCACACACAGTGGATGTTAGTGGAACCACTTCCCATTCCCAGAATATCTCATTCAAGTGCCTGCTTGGGAAAGGAGAAACAATTGCATTTTATTCCAAGATAAATTATAAAATGTAGGATTGTTACCAAAAAATAAAATGTTTGTCTTTACCTTTGTTGGCCTTGGGGATAAGTGATACTATGGAGCTTTTGATTGGCTTCTTTCCTTGCCTTGCCTTTCCTTTTCTTTCCTTTCCTTTCTGCCAAAAAAGCCAGCTATATGCCTGTATCTTAAACATTTGTTTCAAATTATAAAAGTCACGTTGTGATCATGGCACCATACATCTAAAAATGCAAGTACAGCAGCCTGAAAAAATGTGACCAGGCTGTATGCAAGCATTGTATTTATTGGAATAAAAATTAAAAGAACAATCTATAACCTGAGTCTAGTACTTCTTTTTTTTCTCTCTTTCTTTCTTCCTTTTTTTTACTATTCAAAAAACAGTTTAAGAATAGTATGTCTTTGCCTTAATGTTCTTGGGTGTCTGTGTACATCCTACTGACAGAGACAATATTTGCCTTTAAATTATCCTGATGGACAGATGGAAGCTAAATAATCAGCTAGCCAAGCTCAAGGTAGTCTGAATATCTCCCACTGGTTAACAGTGACCAAGGATGTAAGGTGAATTTTAAGAAGAATGGTTGAGAAAGATCTCCACATGGACAAGATTCCTACCTTCCTGTAGTTGAGTGAGGGATTCTTTGTAGCCATGAGGATTGAGAGAACTTTTTAGGTTGCTAATGTTGACTTAAGTCAGAAGATTTAAAGCACACACATGTTAAGAACGTGTATTACCTTACTTAGTCCTCTTGACCTGTGAGGAAGATGGAATTGTTCATATTTGTATGATAAAAGATGCCAAATCAGATAGACTCCCCCACTGTACCTCCATTCCACTTATGCTGCCACCTACAGGCTCTTTTTTTAATATATATTTTTTATTGTGAAGATACTGTACAGAAGGGTTACAGTTACATGAGCAAGGTAATGAGTCTCCATTTCCTATCAAGCATTGTTACCCCCTCCTTGGTTTTTTCCCCTACCATCCCTTTCCTCCCCACCTCCCCAACTCCTCCCTTCCCCCCAAAGTTGTAAAGTTCGTTTCAACATAGTGTCTTGTACATTTCGTTGTTACAATGGTCATCCTGTAACCTTATTTTAGCATTTTGTTATTTCCCTTCCCCTCCCCAAATTAGAAAAATGTATATACCAGATGCAGGACACCGGAATCAAATACAGTGACAACAGGGGTTATACCATGGGGCAAGAACATACAAAGAAACAAAAAAAATTACATAGTACATTATAACTACATTAAAAAGAACAGCAAGAAAGATAAAATCTTGTGTCCCTATCTTGTGGTTCATTTCACTTAGCATCATCTTATATGGTCATATGTACATAGCTTTTGACCTCTTCTGCTTGTCCACCTACAGACTCGTAAGCAGGTGGACTTTCCCAGTCTAGAACACCTTCAAGGACCTCAACATTTCTTTTTTTGGGAGTGGGGCTCGGTCGTAGGGCTTGAACTCTGGGCTTGGGCGCTGTCCCTCAGCTCAAGGCTGAGCGCTCTACCGCTTGAGCCACAGTGCCACTTCCGGCTTTTTTCTTTTTGCTTATGTGGTGCTGAGGAATCGAACCAGGGCCTCAAGCATGCAAGGCAAGCTCTGTACCACTGAGCCACCTTCCGAGTCCCACCTCAACATTTCTTGTAGCACTAGATTTCATAATGCAGTGAAGAATAGAAACAGCACAGATCTCCTATTGTCTGAAACAGGCTGAGCTGGCTCTGTTCTATCTGTTATGGTCTCTAGCATGGCATACTTAAGGAAGTGCACGATTTCTTGCCTTGTTGGGTTTTCCTACCTCAGAGAACTTGCTAATACCTATTGGAAAGAATTGTTTTGGCAATGTAGAGTTTGTTTCATTTATTTGCATAACTCAACTTCTGTGCTGATTTACTGAGTCATATCTTCCAGCTTCCCAGTTTTAACTTGAGAAAGAATATATGCTGTGTCATTCTACATTCCATGAAAGTAACCACATATTATAACTCAACAGAGATAAAGTTTCTCTGTGAGTGTGTGCATGTGTGTGTGTATGCACGTGCTTGCATGCGTGCATGTGGACATGCACATGTGCATGCACACACCAGTACTGGGGCTTGAACTCAGGACCTGGATGCTGTCCCTTAGTTTTTTACTCAAGGCTGGTGTTCTACTATTTGAGCCACATCTTTACTCCCTGTTTTTTGGTGGTTAATTGTAGGTAAGAGTCTCTCAGATGTTTCTTCTTGGGCTGTCCTTGAGCCATGATCCTCAGATCTCAAACTCCTGAGTAGCTGGGATTACAGGCATAATCCACCAGCTCCTGACTTTTCAATTTTCTCTTAGAGAATGATAGACTCAAGTGGTATTCCAGTGTCTTCTCTAAATGTCTGAAAAAAAATCCAGGGTTAATATTCAATGAATAACCTATAAAACTAGGAAAATGGAGGGGAGAGGTTGGGTTAGTAGGAATCAGGGAGAATGACAAAAGGATGTATGGTCAAGATGTATTAGGTAAATTGACTTGTTGAATGGTAACCTCTTTGTACAACCACTTAAATATAATAAAAATATAACTAAAAACATCCAGGGGCATACAAAGTGCATACCCCAATTACTAGACATCTTAATCTTCTTTCAAATAATTTAAAAGGTTGCTTTTTAAAAGTTTTATTTATAAAACCTTTGTGGTTGTTCCAAACAAGCATTAATATATTTTCAGTGCAGATAAATCAAGAACAGTATTCTCTGTGGTGCTAGCCTTGAGTAAAAAAAAAAAAGTGAAGAAGAGCATAATTCCTTGAGTTTAAGCCCCAGCGCTTTACTATAATTTACATAGTGACAGGAGGTTATTAGCTTTTTGATTAAAATGAAAAGATATTTTACCCTTAAACTTTTTAGAATTTTTTTTAGAATGGGGTTGGGCACTGGTGGCTCATGCCTATAATCCTAGCTACTCAGGAGGCTGAGATCTGGGGGTCAGGGTCAAAGGCAGCTGGGGCAAGAAAGACTCTTATTCCCATTTAACCACCAAAAAGCTGGAAATGGAGCTGTGGTTCCAAGTGGTAGACCACTAGCCTTGAATACAAAAGTGCAGAAACAATGCCTATGCCCTGAGTTCAAGCCCCAACATTGGCAAAAAAAAAAAAATAGGATGGATTCTTATTTACCTAGAATTAGATTGCAATTTGTCCCAGTACTTTTGGATTTTGATTTAGTAAGTTTCTTATCAT